AATAACCACTGATTACCGTTAAACTGAACTGATTATGACTGATAAGTGAATTGAATAAACTATTGAACTGACTGACTGAAACTGAAACTGAATTGACTGAGTATATCTGTTCAATTGTATGTCTATCTGTTTGATTGTTTATTTGATCTGTTCGTATTTTCGTGTTTAAACTGCTAATTGAAGGCCTTATCGGCGGCCGAACCGGAAAACGATTAGTGTTTTATGATCATCATAATTTACGTGATTTTATGGCATATTTATCTGAAAACTGGTTAGGATCTTATGGTATGATTAAATTAGATTAAAGAGTGCTAAATTACAAGAGTTGCATTATTTACCAAACTAACCCTAGTGGACCACTACACCAAACTTTGTTTAAGCCTTAGCCTTGCATTGCAAAACATTTCCTCAGCTTCTTTTGAGCACACCATCGAACTAGAGAGAGAGGAAGTGAGAGAGTTGAATTGTTCTAGAGAATTGGCTTGGAAGACTTGAAGGGATCATAGGAGAATTGCCTAATTGGACTCCTATACTTGTAATTGAAGCTCTAGGTGAGGAATTCAACCTCTCATTGTTGTGTTAAGTGGATTCTTGCATTGTTCATGTCTAAATTGATGAATTGAGTCATGTTCTAGTCCTAGCATGTTGAATTGGAGCTCATTTCATGCATGCATGTTTGAATTGTTGATTTTGAGTCGTTTTCATGGAGAATTGTCACATGCATGCTCATGGTTATGTTAAGTCCATGTTTCCATCATGCTTTTGTAAGAATTAGCTCATTTGAGCTTGTATTTAAAGCCTTGAATTGGTTAGATTCATGCATGTTCGCATGTTCTTCATATTCATGAAAATTGGTTTCAAATTGAGTTTGTTTGAAATGCTCTTGGGCTTTGATTTTACAAATTGAGCTTTGAATCATGTTAAACTATGGGTTTTGATGTGTTTTCTGGAAAATTGGCCCAAGAGGATCGAAATTTATGGTTTAAAACTTGGTTTTGAGCTTGAGGTTCAAATCTGGAATTTCCAGAATTTGGACTCACGCTCGAGCGGGGTGACTGGCGCTCGAGCGTGGAAATCGTGCTCCCAGCATTTTGTTCTGTTTTGAAGTCCGCTCGAGCGGAATAATTGACGCTCGAGCGGGATATTGTGTCTCATGCTCGAGCGGGTGTCGAGCGCCCAATCGAGCGTGATTTTCACCTATCCAGCACTTTTGACTGTTTTGCAGAACGCTCGAGCGAGTAAGTCTACGCTCGAGCAGAAACCTTTGTCTACATGTCCGCTCGAGCGGATCAACCTACGCTCGAGCGTGACCCCTGTTTTCTGAAAAGTCTGAAAATGCTTTTAAAAGTACATCTTTGCATCGTCATCCCATTCTAGGCATTCTTAGGCCTAGTTTAAGGCATCTTAGTGAGGATATAGATGTAGAAACACACCGAGGCAATTAGGGATTAAGTTATTATTTTCCCAACCGTGTAGCTTAGTGTGTGTTAATCTGTAACTGTGTAGGTTTGGCTTTCTGAGGAGACGCTCTAGCTTACTGTAGCCCAGAACTCTGTGAGTAACAACTATGTAAAGATATGTTCAAAATGATTATCTTCTGAACAATTAAACTGTACTGCTTTCTGAACTGATTACTGTTAACTGAATGAATGTATGTCCTATATTCTGAACTGTATTGTGGCATCCTTAGCACCTACTGTTTACTGTTACTGTTACAGAGATCTCTGTCGGTTCCCTCGTTGGAACCACTACTGTTTACTGACTGATGGCCATCATTACTGTTCGGTCTTTTAAGACCTACTGTTACTGTTATGCTAATGGATGTACCACATATGACTGTACTGACTGAACGACTGAAATACTGATTTAATGAACTGTTTTCATTACTGTAAGGACATTCATTCTTAACCCCTTTACGCATTGTGCTATTCACTGGGCTTTAGCTCACTGCTCATATATATATGTAGGTGTCCAGGCACCAGACTGCAGCTAGGAGCGTCGAGGTTAACTCCAGTTTTGTCAAGCCAACCTATGTGCCTCAATGCGAGGTTCCGACCCTGCCATGCTGTGGCTTAGGGGCCTTTTATTTCCCCCTTCTGTCTCTATATCTGTTTTGTGAACTGTATAGACTGATAGCACTATACTGTACTACTCTATAAGGGATTAAGTCCCCATTCTGAATGAATGTAAATATTGTATATACCGTTCGGTACTGTTTACGTATATATGTATGAAAGTCTTTTTGGCATACAAACTGTCACAGCTCATTGGACATTGTTTATTTACCGTATTGGCTTCCGCCAGGCCCTGTACTCTGTTTTACTGTATTACTGTTAAGCAGGCCTTCGGTAATCTCGGATTACTGGCCGGTTACGGTGCTAAACCCATGGGGCCGGGTTTGGGTCGTGACACTTGGTAAGGTCTTCAGGCATAAGTTTTGAGGACTCAAGTTCCACTCTTCACTGGGCCAGCCACCTGAGCGGTAGCACATATGGTTGGTAGGACAAACCTTCCAGGCTTGGGCGAACCGTACCTAGTGTCAAGAGTGTGAGTTTGAATCCCCCCTGTGTGCAAGTCCGCGACTTACCACTGCATGATTGAATGGCCCTACTATGTAGCAATACCTAAGGGATCATAAAATCGTAAGTTTAAAATGCAATTTCCTGATAACATAACTAACTGATGTATAGATGCGAATAGGGGTGTAAATCTAGCCCACAGGCCTACGGCTCGATGCGGCCTGGCCTAGTCAGACCTGAGCCCAGACTGAGACCCTGAGCCTGGGAAGTCTATTTTGAAGCCCAGCCCGGCCCAATAAGCTCAAAATTTTTTTCCCATTTTAATATATATAAAATTATTCATTTCATTTCTTTCTCTTTTTTTTTTTTTCAAAAAAAGACTTGTATGCACCTTATAATTAAATTAAAAAAATGACATAATTTCATACTTTTTGAATTATAATTACAAAACATAACATAACCAAATATCTCATTAATTATAACTAAAATAATGTCATAACTTAAGAAGAAAATTAGTCATAACTGAAGCAGAAAATGACATAACTTGATATTTAATCATAACTAAACACCACACGAGACATAATCAAATAGCTATCATGAATCATAACTAAAATAATGTTATAACAAAAGAAGAAAATTATATTAGTTCATAATTTTTAGTCATAACTAAAAAAACATAAGTCATAACTAAATACCACATGAGACATAACCAAATATCTCATTAATCATAACTAAAATATTATAGTACAATTTTTCTTTTACTTTTTATCCCTCGTAAATAATATATAATATCTATCGATTATTTTTTGCAAAAAAAAAAAAAAGAGGCCCACCCGTCACAACCTGAGCCCAAGCCCGCGACCCTATTTTGAGTGGGCTTGGGTTTGGGCGTGGGTCTAGATTTTTTCCACGTGGGCCGGTCAGACTAGAATTTCGGCGAGAGCCCGCACGACCAGGCAGTGGACCGGCTTGTGCTCGGATTAGGTCAAATTTACATCCATAGATGTGGATAAAATTGCATTTTGAACCTATGATTTTAAAATTTTAATTAATCTGATAAATAGTTTGAAAAGTTAGTTTTTTTAAATAATTTAATTTTTTGAAATATTAAAAAAAATGTTAGACACTCTAAAAGTTTTAAAATTTTTACCAAATATCTCACATGAATGTGGAACATTTGATAAAATATTTTGATAAAACTTTTGAATCACTAACATTACTCTTAAAATAATAATAATAATAATAATAATAATAATTCTACCCATACTAATAATGTTACTAAAAATACAAGAAGCCATATGTGATTCATTGGCAAAAAAATTAAATGACATTTAAACCTCTAAAGATTTGGATATGTAGGTACTTAGTGAGGGTTGGTTTGGGGTGTCTTAAAAAAGTGTATTTTTTTGTCTTTTTATGAAAAGATGTACAGAAAAGTAGAGAGGTGATATGATAAAAAAAAATAAAAAGATAAAAAGATGGATTATATAGTCTATGCCAAACAATCCCTAAAATTATTAGTAAAAATTTAAATAAATGTAATATTGCACCCAAAAAAAAGTATAATGTAATTATAAAAGTTTTACCAAAATTTTTACATATAAAACATGGAAGTGCCGTCTCTTTCCCTCTCGTCGCTCGTGAACCAAAAACCCTGGCAACCATTTCCATGCAAATGTGGACGGTAACTCCATATAAGCCTTCCTTGTATAACATCTACACAACTCATCAATCACCCCTTTTGTCGTCTCTCTCTCTCTCTCTCTCTCTCTCTCTCTCTCGAACATTCTTTGCGACGCCTATTTAAACCTTCCGTTTCATAGTTTCACGCAGTTCTTGTTTTAGCAGAGGAGGCTAGTAGCTGCTCATCTACGCCATACAGTACTCTTTCTTTAATCTTAATCTTGATGTATTACATGCTATTCATTTTTTTATTTTTTATTTTCCGATTTTCTTGGAATAATCCACATGTGGGTTTGATTCGCTGGTGTGTGTTCATTGCTCTTTAGATGGATCGTGTTTGTTAAAGTTACTTCTTGTTTGAGTTTTTTTTTCCCCCCCTTCAATTTCCTCTTGTTGTTTTATCTTGCCTATATGAGATTGAATCCGTCAGAATATGAGTAATCCTATTTGATTCAAGTTATTAAAAGCCTGGAATAATTACATTTTTTTCATTCGTATTTTATTCAAATTTTATTTTATTTTAAATAATTTAGTCCATACACTTTAACTTCAATTTAAGCAAAAACCTTATCACTGCTTTTCATTTGTTGGGTTTTTGCTTAAATTTGATTGCATGACTTAAATTTCCTTTTGAAATGCTCTAATCAGAATTTAAGGCTCATATTATATGGGAGAGTTTTTTAGTCAATTGATTTGATTTGTAATTTTGTCTTGCCGTGAACTATATATATAGTCGGCGATCATACTAGATTATCATAGGTTGTTTGAGGTGGGTTGTATTGTTGAGACCTAATCCCAAGAATTAGGAATTAAAGTGAAGTTGCACAACTCATGATCTTGAATTGGAAATAAAACTGAAATTTAGTATTGAAGGACAATCATGATTTGCTGAAAATTCACACAAATTCAGCAAAATTTGGATTAGGATTACGCAGCTTAATTAGAAAAAGTGAAAGTCCAGTAGAAAAGTCAGAATATTTGGTCAAATTCAGGAAAATCAGGTTTGGAATTATGTAAGAGCTCGTCATTTTGATGATTGTTACTAATTTGGCTAGAAATTCAACTGAATTGAATATGTCTATGATAAAATTTTGCAATATTTGACCAAAAACTAAAACAATTAAAAAAATTATGCCTTCCAAATTTGGTCAAGAAAACAAAAGTTCGAGGGACTTCTGAATTGAATGGAGATCCCTCACAAAGATAAACCTTGATGTGAAGTAACGCAATTGCAAACTCACGGTTTATTTATCCACCAAACGCTAAGAGCTATGAAGCATAGACACGGATACAACATGACACAGACACATCAACACGACAAATTCCAAAAAAGTAGGACACGAACACTGACACAGTTTAGACAAGCCACAAATAACTTTATATTGATATTATATTATATTATCCATGAATATATTATATTATATAGTTATATATGTGCATGACATATATATTAAATAATTGCTTTACACCAAGTAAATCTTGTATGTAATTCTGTTACATGAATTTTTAGACTACTGGACCATAGTTGTTTAAAATCAAACAAATTATAGCAAACATATATAATTGCCACTTTTTCCTCATCCTTCTAAGCCATCTGCTTATACATTTTTTTATATTAAGAATACTATATTATGTATTCTTAAGAATTATACGTTTTTTAAGGGTATAAGATATTTATGTCAAATTCTTATACTATAAAAATCATATGTTACCAAATATCTAGGAAATATTGGTCTCATGTTTATATTTTAGTGATAGACATGGCCAAGAAGTGAAGAATACATCACAAAAAAAGTGTGTCCGAAACTAAGAATTTTATTTTTAATTGTGGACACATAAAAAGGAGTATATAACGCATGTCTAAGAGTGTCCGTGGAGTGTTGGTGTCCTACATGTGTCCAACACAGACACGTCGCCTTCTTAGAAGCGTCCATGCTTCTTTGCTAAGAGCAACAAGGGAAAGCTCTTTTCTTCCTTTTTTTTTTTTTTTTTAATTCTCTTTGGCAGCCATAAGTCTGAAGTTTCTTTTGCAATTCTCCAAAAACCATCAGTAACACTGGTCGAAAAACAGCTTCAACCAATTCAATTTCTAGTTGGACATAATTCATTGTTCTGAATATAGTCTCCTGTAGATAGCTTTAATAATACGCTCTACAGAAATGCCAATATATCACTAGGAACTGCAAATAACGAAGCACTTTCTTAGGATGGAACATTGTTACTGTTTCTTTCTTTACCTCTTTTGTCCTTATTGTTCCATGCTTAGTTTGATCTGAATATGCACTTTGCTTTCATTTCCTGCATATAATACTCAGAATGCTTTGATATGATCTCGCATTATTATTTATAAAGTTTGAATGTAAGAGCAGTTTGAAATGAACCAAGTCTGATCCTTATTCATAATTTCTGAAATTCATTTCAGAACTTCCTGGTGTAGCATAAACAGTACAAAGGAAAGATGGATCAGATAACCAATGTTGTGGAGTATGAGGCCATTGCAAAGGAGAAATTGCCAAAGATGATTTATGACTATTATGCATCTGGTGCAGAGGACCAGTGGACTCTCAAAGAGAACCGAAATGCATTCTCAAGGATTTTGTAAGCTCCTTGTTTGTTTGTTTCTATATTGATTCATGGGATTGATACTTACTTTTCAAAAAAATGAGGAATAAACCACTTCAAAGACAGATTTCTACCATTCCTTCTTTATTGTAGGCCATGATCAAGGGTAGAACTTTTTTTCAGGTTTGATTTTGGTGTTTTTCTCAAAATATATATTTTTGTATTCAAAATATAGGTTTCGACCTCGTATACTTATTGATGTAACCCACATAGACATGACCACAACTGTGTTGGGGTTCAAAATTTCAATGCCCATCATGATTGCTCCAGCAGCTATGCAGAAAATGGCTCACCATGAAGGTATATTCCCTTGTTTCCTTGAGCTTGTGCATTTTTTCCTTGAGGATCGATTGAGCTGTGTTTAGATTTCTTATATCCATAAGTATTTATATACATTAGATGAGTACATATATACAAACATAGACAATTTGAATTTATCAAAATGATTCAAGGAAAAGAAGGTTTCTTCTGCTGTTTAGTTTCTGTGGAAAGCTTCATCTTGCAGCTTGAAAAATGGATTTTTTTTTTTTTTCAAATTTTTGTTTCTATATAGTGAGAAGTGAAGACTATATGATCACATTTGTTCTTCTCCAGGACAGCACCTCTAAATTGTGGCATTATCTTCTATAATTCCAGTACATTTAGAACTTTTGACTGTGTTTTTACTGATGCGATCTATCACATTGGACAATTAATCAATTGCAATACATAACATGGTTGATTGAGAGTTTAAAATATTTCAAATAAATAATTGTACTCGTTAGAGATTTGTGCCATAATTGCCAATTTGATAAACCTGGTGCCCACTAAACTCACTTTTCCTTAAAATTGCTTCGAAATGTGTTTTGATATCTTTGCTGAATGATAAGAAAACCTAAAACTAGAGAAGGATTTTTTATTTTATTTTGAGGAGTTTGAGCCCATGGTATAAAGATTGATGAGGCAACCTAGTACCAATTGCACTACAAGGTTAGTTGTAGCTGTTGCAGGATTCAAATGTCCCTTTTGTGTCATCCGTAAAGCTAGTGACCTTGAAAATAATATCTTAGCCCTTGAATTGTCTAAATTTAGTGTCAAATGTGGATGCATGCTTCTTATAAGCGTTTAGAAAATGAATTGTTTATTGATGTCACCTTTTCACAGACACTTACCTTCTAACTTTTTATTTGGAAAATTATTTTTCATATGAAAAGGAAAACATTAATTTATATTTAAACCAAATGTTTAATTTTGATGCAGGCGAATATGCAACAGCAAGAGCAGCATCTGCTGCTGGCACAATAATGGTTCAGTTTCTCACCCTCATTATTTCTTTTACTTGAATTTGCTTAATGTGTTTGTTCCATAATGCTGCCTTTCATTTGTGGGTCAATTGGGTCTTGACATTCCAGCTAGTTCAGTTGTAATTACCATATATTATGTCTCTTTAGTTCACTTATGCATGGTTGGTTTTTCCAGACATTATCCTCGTGGGCTACTACCAGTGTTGAAGAGGTTGCATCCACAGGACCTGGCATTCGTTTTTTCCAGCTCTATGTGAGTATGAGAGTTCATCATGACTGTTTCTGATATTAGTAACAAGAATCCATTAAAATCCTGATTTTTGTTAGAAAAAGTTGAGTTGTTCACTATTTTATCTCGATTCACATATGGAAAAAGAAAAGAAAATCATTCTAAAATTAGATGGTAATATGTAAAATATTGCCACTAATTCCAAAATCACAAGTGAATTATTTGAGAATTTCGAATTACTTAGCACTATGAATGATCTTAAATTGTTCATTTTTTATTTTTAACACCATGTTTCATCCCATACTACCCAGTCAATTAATTTTTTCGGCTTATCCTTCAGGTGTACAAAGACAGGAATGTTGTTACACAGCTTGTCAGAAGAGCTGAACGAGCAGGCTTCAAGGCAATTGCCCTTACTGTGGATACTCCAAGGCTCGGCCGTAGAGAAGCTGATATTAAGAATAGGTGAAGCGGAACAAATGCCTTATTTTCTTGAAAACCAACAATTTGAAGGATTTGGTTAAGTCTGTTTTTAATGCAATTATTACTCAACTGAATCCTTTATTTTGAACTACAAGAAGCTTCATATGTCCTAATTTTTTGTGTTGGTTCCCCTACAGATTTAATTTGCCACCACATTTGTCGTTGAAGAACTTTGAGGGATTAGATCTTGGCAAGGTTGATAAGGTGAATGATTGAATTATTCTAGACTAATGGTTTTCATTTATATGTTGTGTTCATGGTTATTAGAATGATTCATGATTCGATTTGAGTTTCAAGCAAAACTATTTGATTCATGCATTTGAATCTTAAATTGAATGAATCTTACAACTCAATTATGATTTCCTATTATTCATTGCGAGTCATCATGATTCACGCAATTCTGTCATGTTTGCATAATACATGAAATGGCATCTTTTTTTTCACAGAAAAATAAAAAATAAAAAGAAGAAAAAAGAAATCAACTAATTATATTGATATATGTAGTTTTATTTGTATATATACATACAATTTAGTTATATTGATATTTATTTCAATTTAAACACTCTGTGTATTTTTATATGTATATATATAATTATATATTATGTTAAATAAAGTAAATCTTACAAGTCATGATTCATGATTCAATACGGTTCATGAATCAAGATTCGATTCATGATTTGACAACAATGTTTGTTTACTCGTGATTAATTTTTCTGGTGACCATGCAGACCAATGACTCTGGACTAGCTTCATACGTTGCCAGTCAAGTTGACCAGTCTCTTAGCTGGAAGGTAAGGTGACTTTTTCTACTGAGATTTCTTAAACTTAGCTGGAAGTTAGCTATTTTTTGAATAGCTTATCTTTGGCATTTTGGACAGGATGTGAAATGGCTTCAGACGATCACCCATTTACCAATCCTAGTGAAGGGTGTCTTAACTGCTGAGGATGGTAAGTAATGTAGTGTTACTTAAAACTGAAAAGTTCTCTTCACATTCTTGAGTTCCAACTTGTTGACTTCCTAACATTCTCATCATATATTCCACATTTTTTTTTTTTGAAAATCATGCAGCGAGGCTAGCAGTACAAGCTGGAGCAGCAGGCATCATTGTGTCAAATCACGGAGCTCGCCAACTTGATTATGTCCCTGCAACAATTATGGCTTTGGAAGAGGTATATGGTGTTTAGTAAATTTCATTGTTGAGTCTTTGAGTGACGCACAATCTTTACTTCAATTTTCTTTGAAGGATAATATATACACGAAACATCGTCATTCCTTTCCCAATGATGTCAGATGGATGGAAATAAAAATTCGTATACCAAGCCAGCAATTATAGGAAGAAAAATACTCATTCACTGATTTTTTAACAAATCATGCAGCAAAGAAAGCAAGATGAAAAGATAGACTCTGCTTGTGGGTGAGAAAAAAGGAAACAAAGAAAACAGAAACATTCCAAAAAAGTGTAGGAGCATTTGGCTGGCTATGTTTTTGAGTCTCTCTTTTGTTTTGTTTTTCTTAGTCAAATTAAATCAAACAGCCAATTTTAATTATTTTTTTTCCATATTTTGTTTTGTTTTATTTTGCATGTTATAAAGCTTATATGTAGTTAATTCAAGAGTTAGAGCTTAGAAGGGAGTCACATAAAAATCATAAAAAGAAAGGAATCCTCTCATAGAATAATTGTACAAGTGGAAGTGGTCAAAGGTTTAAAATATATATATGTATAATCAATGTGAAATTGCAACCAGAGGAGCTCAGCATCATAGTGATTGTTATAAATTATTGTTGCGCCAATCCAAATTACAGTATATAGTCATCCATTTGGGAATAGACTATTTTAGTTGACTATTTGGCTTTTTATGAAAACACGTGCAAAAAAGTAGAGAGAGTGATGTGATGAGCTATTTTGTTTTATTGGCTATTTTAACCTAGCCCATCCCAAACACCCCCTAAATAAAACTTAACATACATGGGGTACAACTTAACAAAGTACGTAATTTTTTTGGGGTTAAAAACACCTATAATCCCTGAAGTGTGTCTTCTGTGTCTATTTGGTCCTCCTAGTTTCATTTTATTTGAGATCTTTCTCACACCTCAACAAAATTCTTGAATACTTAAGCCTTTTTCCTTGTTGAGTAGTTTCCCAATCCCTAACTTATTTCAGTGCAGGATAAAAATAAAATAAAATAAAATAAACATTTATTCATGTTCACAAGTTAAATCCATTTGTGTAATTCTGACACATTGTGGCTCCTTGGAGGTTACTTTCAGGTGGTTAAGGCTGCACAAGGCCGAGTTCCTGTTTTTCTGGATGGTGGGGTCCGACGTGGGACGGATGTCTTCAAAGCATTGGCTCTTGGTGCATCTGGAATATTTGTAAGTGAATAGAATGTCTTACCCTTCATAGCAAATCCAAGAAAGAATGACTTCTGATGATTAAAGCAATGAATTTAGTAGAGTGGATCCTCTTATCTCATGGCTCCCCTGTTTTTCTGTCCCAAATCTCATCTCAACCACACGATTAAATTCAGAGAGACTCATCCTGTGGTGGAGGGGGGAGGGGGTTTGGGACATGTCGACAAAAGAGAAACGGGATAAAGGATCATGTGGTGATTTTTAGTTATCTATCTCATTTAACATATGCATGCTCCTAGAAATCTCCTTAAAGAATTATGCAAGATCTGGGTTTTTCATAAAACTTGGTTCTTGGTCATTCTTGAAGTTGCTCACATTTGTCATGACAAATTCCAGATCGGGCGACCAGTCTTGTTCGCATTGGCTGCTGATGGCGAGGCTGGGGTAAGAAAGGTACTTCAAATACTTCATGATGAGCTTGAGCTAACTATGGCATTAAGTGGTTGCCGCTCACTCAAGGAGATTACTCGCAACCACATTGTGACCCCATGGGATGCTCCTCTTCGTATTGCACCCAAGTTGTAAGATAATCTTGCGCCTATGCGACACTGATCTGGTGAAAGGATAAATGTCTACAGCTTCTTCGTCACCCCCAATAAGATTTTAAAATTCATGGCTTGAGAAATGATGGAAAGAAATGAATAATGTTACAAGCTACTATTGACGTATATGCTTTTTCTGAAACAGGATAAATATGTGTGGTACTAAATTTTCTTTTGGGAACTTTTTTTCAGGATATGGATCTTATTTTGTGATGTAATAAAAGTTGGAGTGAATTGGTAAGTGCATTGCATCATATATGTTATTGATATCACATAATGTGGATTTGGTTGCTGTGTATCTGAAAAATAAACTGAAGTATGGGATTTCTATACTATATTGTTTAGAGTTGCAAAATAGAGTAGAAACATTCCAAACATTTTTTCTAGCCTATTTCTTCTTGCCTCCCCTGCAGCTTGGTAGCATGGAAGAAAATATAAACATTACATGCATTTTTAATCCACCAACGAAATAATTGCTCTAAATATAATGTAGCTCTGACTTGTTAGGACTGTGAGACACCAGAAATCAATCACACACAATAACACAAGAATATTTATGTGGTTCGGTAATTGCCTATGTCCACGGAGAGCTATCCACTATAGAATTTCCCGGCGGGAGTTTACACCACTCACACCTCACTCACTCACTATAGCACTCTCACTTACACATACACTCTGTGTTTTTGCTCACAATCTCTCTCAGATTACACACTGCAATCTATATAACACTAGCTCTTCCTCCTCACCTCATTTATACACAAATGAAGGAGGCTTTGATTGGCCACCACCTACCCCTTCCACTAGCTAGTGGGGTTGGTGGAGTGGAAGAGTGGGAGAGCCACCTTACCTATCTTCTTCCACTATCCATAGTGGGTTCTCCATTTGGGCAATGGACTAACAATTCTCCCCCTCCACGCCCGTATGAATAACTGACTTCTCACTTGAAGTCCATCCCAGCAATGTCTCTGCAGATTTCGAGTTTGTCTCTCGAGACCGCCTTTGTAAGTATGTCAGCTGGATTCTTATCTGTATGGATCTTGATCAGTTCCAATAACTGCTTTTCCATCACTTCGCGTATCCCATGATACCGAACATCAATGTGCTTTGTGCGATGGTACATCGAATTCTTACTTAGGTCGATGGCATTTTGGCTATCACAATGTACCGTGAACTTTGCTTGCTTTAAGCCCAACTCTTGGAAAAACCGCTTCAACCACAACATCTCTTTTCCAGCTTCTACTGCGACAATATATTCTGCCTCGGTTGTGGATAAAGCAACACACTTCTGCACCTTGGCCTACCAAGACACAGCTCCCCCTGCGAAAGTGAATAGAAATCCTGATGTAGATTTTCTACCATCAAGATCTCCCGCCATATCTGAATCCGTATAACCTTCCAAGACTGGTTTAGCATCTCGAAAGCACAAACACATTTTTGTCGTACCCTTGAGGTACCTCAGAATCCACTTGACTGCTTCCCAATGATCTTTTCCTGGATTGGAAAGGAATCTGCTTACTACTCCAACAGCATGAGCAATATTTGGTCGGGTAGACACCATTGCATATATCAAACTCCCTACGGCGGATGAGTAGGGAATAGCCTCCATTTTTTCTCTTTCTTTAGTAGAGGAGGGACAAAAACTCTTGCTCAGCTTGAATTGATTAGCTAGCGGAGTATTGACTGGCTTGGAATCTTTCATGTTGAACTTCGCAATCACCCGTTCAACGTACTTCTCCTATGACAGCCATAATTTCTTGGCTTTCCTATCACGCACAATTTGCATGCCCAACATTTGCTATGCAGGGCCTAGGTCCATGTCAAAGGACTGTGATAACTCCTTCTTCAGTGATCTGATTGCTATGGCATCCTATCCAACAATCAGCATGTCATCAACATAGAGCAAGAGTATGATGAAGTTTCCATCGGGAAATTTCCTAACATAGACACACCGGTCTGCAGCAGTTCTCTTGTACTCATGACCCACCATGAATGAGTCAAACTTCTCGTACCATTATCTCGGTGCTTGTTTGAGGCCGTAAAGACTCTTCTTCAATCTACAGACTAAGTTTTCTTTCCCTTTTACTTCAAAACTTTCTGGCTGCTCCATTTAAATTTCTTCCTTCAGATCTCCATGGAGAAATGTCGTCTTTACATCCATCTGTTCAAGTTCCAAATTCAAACTGGCCGCTAGTCCCAAAACTAGTCGAATGGATGTCATTTTCACAACTGGCGAGAAGATTTCATCAAAATCAATACCTTTCTTCTGCCCAAAAACTTTGACAACCAATCGAGCCTTATACTTGACTAGTTTTCCGCTGCCATCTTTCTTCAACTAGAACACCCATTTGTTCTGCAATGGTTTTCGACCTTGTGGAAGTTTTACCAAATCATAAGTCTGATTCTTTTGCAAGAACTGTATCTCTTCTTGCATAGCTTGATGCCAACTACTCTTCTCCTTATGATTCTGAGCTTCTTGAAAACTTTCTGGCTCCCCCTCATCAGTAAGCAAAATATAATCAGAAGCAGGGTATTTTGACGAGGGCTTAAACTCTCTTGTTGATCTTCGCAACTGTGGACCAACAGTCTCTGGCGGAGGGGGTTGTGGCTCCCCCTGCTCCACACCCTCTTCTTCTGGATCTTCTTCTTCTTGCAATTCATCCTACAACTCTACATCATTGGTTCCATGTTGCGGTAGCTCTTCTTCGTCAGTGACATGCTATGATGGTGCAGGATTGGGAATAATTTCGAAAACATCATTAACTTTGGGTTTGGCTGGTTGCCCAAAGTCTTCTAAGGTCTGGCTTTCTTGAAATACCACATCTCAGCTTTGAATGACCTTTTTGTTTTTCGGATCCGATAATCTGTATCCAAATTCTTCATCTCCATAGCCAACAAAGATGCATGGAGTAGCTTTGTCATCCAGCTTCTATCTGTGCTCCTTGGATACATGTGCAAAAGCTTTGCACCTAAACACTCTCAAGTGAGAGTAAGAAATCTCCCTTCTAGACCATACTTTCTCTGGAATTTCAAAATTCAGTGGAACTGATGGCGATCTGTTGATCAACTAGCATGCAACACGAACATCTTCTCCCCAAAATGGCTTTAGCAGCTTTGCCATTTTGAGCATACATCTGACCTTTTCCACAATGATCCGGTTCATTCTTTCAACTGCACCATTGTGTTGTGGGGTTCCAGGAACAGTCTTCTCGTGTCGGATGTTGCAAGTAGCACAGTAGGCTTCAAACTCCTTTGACATATACTCGCCTCCATTATCTGTTCGGAGACACTTTAGCTTCTTTCCGGTCTCCCTTTCCACCATAGCATAAAATGTTTGAAAATGTTGGAACACCTCAGCTTTGGTTCTTAGGACATAAATCCATACCTTCCGTGATGTGTCATCAATAAACGTCATGAAGTATTTTCTGCCACTCAAAGATTCCACGTCTATGGGAGCGCATACATCAGAGTATACTTTGCTCAACAACTCTGATTGTCTTTTGGATGATGAATGGAAAACGACTCTATGTTGCTTCCCAAACAAGCAGTTGTCACAAGGGTTTAATTTCGCATCTTTGGCAACGGGAATAAGCGACTTCTTTTCCAGAATCTGCAACCCTTTCTCAGTCATGTGACCCAGCCTTTTGTGCCACAAATTTGGTGATACCTCATCTTCTGCTGCGTTGAGGCTATCTGAATGCATCCACATGAGTCTTGTACAACGTGCCACTTGCTTGTCCTCTGGCTACCACCAGAGATCCCTTTTTTAACTTCCACGAGCCTTTACCGAAGTAGTTCTCATAGCCTTGTCGATCTAAGGCTATCCCTGAGATAAGATTCAGGCGTAAATCGAGAACATGCCTGACATCTTTCAACACCATCGTGCACCCAACTTTGGTTTGGATGCGAACATCACCGATTCCCACAATCTTAAAAAACTGGAGTTGCTCATCTTCACTGTACCAAAATCTCCATCTTGGTATGTACTGAAGAACTCCTTCCGAGGTGTGGCGTGGTAGGAAGCTGTTGTATCTACCACCCACTCGGTGTCGTTGTCTGACATATGAAGACATTCTTCTTCTTCAACAGAGAATAATGTAATATCCTTTGAGACAGTAACTGCAGTATTCCCATCTTCAGTCTTTTGCTGTCTATTGCCTTGTTTTTGTTCTCCCTTCAAGGCATAGCAATATTTCTTTATGTGACCCTCTTGGCCACAATGGTAACACTTGAACTTCGGCCGGCTCGTACCTTCTTTGGATTTCCCTCTGTCTTGAAATCTTCCTCTGTTGCGTCCTCTACTTTTGCTTCTTCCTCTGTCTCTGTCTCTACCTTTATTTTCTGTGACGAGGGCATGGGATTGATCTCCACCCAAGTCTTTCCGCCTTGTCTCTTCATTGTACATGGCGTCTGTGACCATGCTCATGGTCAGCTTCTTTTCTAGTGCAAAGTTGCTGAGAGAAACCACCAACGTCTCCCAGCTATTCGGTAAAGAACTGAGCAGTAGAACGGCTTGCATTTCAACGTCTAAGCGCATCTTGACGGTTGCAAGCTGATTCACCAGATTTTTGAATTCACTGGTGTGCTCGGCGACTGACATACCATTCTTCAATTTCAAATTGACAAGCCTTCTCATCACCAAGGCTTTGTTCCGAGCGGTCTTTGATCGGTACATGTCCTCTACCATTGTCCATAGAGAATAGGCATCTGTCTCCTCGGCGACATGATGGTACACACTGTGGTCTATCCATTGTCTGATACAACCGATAGTCTTGTAGTTCATTTTTATCCAGTCATCATCATTCACTGCTTCTGGTTTAACCCCTTTTACAAAAATAGGGTCAAACAGGTCTTTATAATACAAGATGTCTTCCATCCGCGACTTCTAAATTGTATAATTGGAAGGAGTCAACTTGAACATAGATCCTGAAGTTGATGTAGATTCTTCCATTGTATACTATGTTTTTACAGAAACTCCGAATCAAAAAATATGACCGTACAGATGTGTCTGGAATACTCCAAATAGTTGGAAAGCATTATTGGATCGTCAAAAACGGACACAGAATGGCTCAGATCAAGCCAAAACAGTTTGGACAATTCAGATCTGCAGGTATACGTTAGCCGCGAAGCACTGGATCACTCCTCTGATAGGTTGACTAGCCAACAGGATGCGCTGACATGGCTGACACGTGGCTGACAGACTAACACGCGGCATTGACGTGGCGGATGACATGTTAGACATGTGGCACAAACGTGGCGGACGCGTGGCGGTGACGTGGCGGACAC